ATATGTAATAATATATATGTCTGTAATAGATAAATAATTACAAATTAAATATAAATTATAAAGAGAAGAATTTATGTACTGAAATTTGCTCAATAACTTTTTATTGTATTACATGCTCTAACTCTAAGAAATTTATAAAAATTAAAGAATGAATGCAAGGAAGATATTAAAGAGAAGATATTTATTAAATCTTTATTTAATAACAAGATAATATGTGTAATATGTACAATATTTTCTTTTGTTCGAATTTCAATATTTTCAAGTAAAGAGGTATCGATCGGTTATTTACTCTTATACTTGCTTGGGCGAGCTGGAAGCTATAATTCTGTGTAAGCATCATCGCTTTTCCACCGAGGAAATTTCATAAAGTTCGCATCCGTTCGTGCACGCGAAGGAATTTCCGTGAAGGACGATAACCGAAATTGCGTTTCTGATTCGTCGGGGATATCTCCAGAACATCGTTGCAGGGAAGTTTCGCCTGCCAGTACGCGCACGGATTAACTACATGGACAGAGAATGGGACGAAATGTCTTAGAGATTAATTTCATTTTTTTTCTTCTCCTCTCTTTTTGCCCGTCGCGGGAAATCGACATTTTCTCGTTGGAAAAGCCCGTGCTCTTGTCGTCGGCGAAAAGTGACAACGGCTTTTCTAAGATGATCTCTGCGAAACGCATCGCAGTTCTCTGCTCTCTGCTCGCTTAATTAACTTCAATTAATTTACGCCACCCGGGGATTTCGCATCTCGCCAAGATTAAGAGCAGCGAGATTAACATACCGGCGGCTCGGCAATCCTGCGTTTATGTCTCGTGAGTAAATGTGTGTGTGCATGAAGCTTATGCTTAAAGAACTGGTTTTTGAAAACGCTTTTAGACAGGTTGCAAAAAAAAAAATTAATAATATCAGCAAAGTATTATAAAATTCGATTGACGTATATCGGGAATATTGATTACTCACATTATCAGAATTCGTGCAATTTAAATATATAAATAAAAGTTTTGATTAAAAGGATAAGAATTAATTACATAATTCTAAAAGTAGGTAAAGCCATGTTTTTGCTAATTGTAAGAAAAAAACGTGACTTTTAATTCATTGCGACTCTTATTTCTGCATAGTCTTTGCTTATACTTTTTACTATATCATTTAAAAGAAGTTTTTTTTAAAGATATATAATTTTTTTTTTAATTTATGTTTTTAATCACAAACTCTGTCTAATCAAAGTGTAGTTAGTAAAATAACTGGGTCATCGGCGAATTCGCGATTTCATATAACGTATTTCGTATCACGTGCGTTTGCGCACGACGCAAACACGTGTGTACAGTAAAGCATATATCGTAACACTGCGACAGATCTCGAGTAAACTGATTACGAGAATACACCGTTAAAGCCGGGTCGATTTTCTGGGTCGATACTTTTTCCTCTCGGCTAAACCGGTCGTCTTACAAGCTCGTCGCCCGCGTCGATCTTGGTTCTTCATTTGCCGCTTCGTTGAAAATCCGCTTCTGAAAATACGGTCGCGTGGAAATTATTAACAAGCGTTAACAGACGATCGATAGATTCAGCGAGCGTTTAATCTCACCGTGGTCCAAAATTATGACGCGATCGAAGTCCTTTTCTCACTGCTTTTAAAAATAATAATTAAAAATATTTAATTACATAAACAGAATATTTAATTTTAAACTAGAGTATATATTCTGCAAATATATATACATATATACATGTATATTTTTTGAACTTTTAAAATATTTAATTATAGTCTAAATTATGTGCAAATATTCTTATGATGTAATTCAAGCCTGAAATATATATATACATTTGGAGAGTAACTGGGGAAAAGATTGGTATATCAAGAACGTATGTTCGCAAAAGAGTTCGGAGTTGAATTTTGACTCGTGTCATTCTCGAATAAAAATTTCGTCTAAGCGGAGAGGCATGCTGGCAGCCATGCATTTGTAAGCCGCGAGGGATATTGCCGCCGGGCATGCTTGATGTAAAGTGCAAATCGCACGTGCAACGAGTTGCGGCAATCGATTGTGCAGATGTAGAACATGCTCCAATTTACGCGAGAATTGCACGTGTAAGCCTGGTTGCCTTCTGGCAACTTACGGGTTGTCAAAATAAAAGACGCCTTTGTTGACACTTTTCTCATTAAATGTTCTTTATAGAGACATTCTTAATTTTGTAATTAATTTTTGCTTCAAATATGAAGAAGAGATATGTGCATATATCGTACATTGAAGAAAATAAGATTTTAAAATAGAACTGCATCACGATTTTCTTACATTTCATCGTCTTCATTATATTTTCACAAGAGTTTTCTAAAGTTTTTCAAGAAACTAAATGCTGAATATATAATTATTAAATATATATTCGTCACTATATATAAATCAGGCGAAACAGATGGCTCGGCGCGGCACGGCACGCTGCAAATATTATACATTTGTTTTATTTGCATATGCGAGAACTGCCGGGCGTGAAAGGGATGGAAAAATCAAACGCCAGACTTGCAACGCGTCGACGAAGGGAACGACCTGTCGAAAGAAACGAGAGAAAGGCAAACGTATTCAAATCGTTATTTTTATCTTGTTGCAATTGGAGTCTCGCGTATGTCATATCTAGTGATCGTGCGAAAACTGTAATAGGGCACCTGTGTTACATCGCGTATATACGTTGTTCTAATAATATCGGAAAATATTTAACAGATTTTAAGATATAAATTTAAAATCGAGTTTTACTTTGCTAATTTAAAAAAATTGTAACTATTAATAAGCTTTAATTTTATATATTTTAAATATTGGAGAGAAAGAGAGATGGATATATTATATATATTTATATATAGAGAGAGAGGGGGGGAGGGAGAGAGAGAGAGGAGGGAGAGAGATTATTTATATATGTAATATAAATGATCGTATTAAGTCCATGCATTGAAAATGGAACAATGATGTAAGCACAAATTTATGAAAAAGAAATGGAGCGCTTTTCTCATCTTCCTTCTTCAAAGATTCAGAAAGATTGAAAAAACTTTATATATATATTCTTTAATATATCTGATTTTATTCTATTATTTTATGATATCATTTCGAAAATATACATATGCATCTTTTTAAAGATGATTTTTGAAAGGAGATTACGGGGTTTAAGTTTGAAAATTTATTACAAATAAAATTTATTTTGTTTTGAAAATTTATTACAAAGTTCCAGAAAAAATAAAACATTTCTCTTTCTTTGTGTATGTGTATGTACATGGACTGCTGTATTATACAAAAGAGAGAAAGCGCTTTACATAAATATTTGACAAGAAATTCTCTCTTGCACATATTAGGGACTCTTTTCTCTTTTGTTATGCATATATATATTTAAAATTTAACAATCAAACTTTTCACATGGTTCAGTTTCTCAAGAATGAATAACATATTCAATCGATTTAAACCAAATAAATTTCTTATTGAATTAATGATGAATAATTAATTATGAAAATTCCGTAAGTCTCTTAATAGTATTAATGTAATTAATTAATTAAATATTTCTTTACAAATTGACTAAGTTCGCCGAGGAATCTATCATAGAAATTTTCCGGCACTCCTCGATCACTCTGTATTACGACGCAAAACACGTGCTCCGCCGCGATGCAAGGAAAAATCGTGCCCATAATTTCTCCGCAAAATTTTCCGGCGAATTTGATAAGGCCGCGTTGAAAGATTCGAAAGTTGATTTTTATTCTTTGCTAACGGATACGTAAATATTTACGAGGGATCGGCCGATATGTGTAGCGTGCGTCGATGAGATAAACAAATAAAAGCGCCGACGCGTGTTGCGTTGTGTCGCGTTACATACGTCGATGTCTCCGTGATATTTTTATCAAGCTATAATTCGGCAGGCGCAGTGTGTGATAACGCGACGCGTGTTTATTTTTAGCGATCTGACGCGACCGCATTCTATTGTCATTTTCCATTCGTGCGCCATCGACGACGACGACGACGAATAACATGAATATCGAGTACTCATTCGTTATCGAATGTATACAGTACCTAGGATAACATGCATCTTGTTTGCCACAAAAAAATAGAAGAACACAAAGGAAAACAAACGCATTGGGAAAATTCACGTAATAAAAACAACAAAATGCAAGTTTTTGTCAAAAATAAAAGGAAGAAATTTATGAATTTTATTTTTCATAAAACGAAAGAAATTAAAAATAATTTGACTAATAGAATGTGTTATTCATATACTGATATAAATAAAAACAATGTTTCTTTTTAATAATGATTTTTTTTTACGTGCACGCGCGTATTATATATATATATATATATATATATATGATTTATACTATCAGAGAGCTTTCAGTTATATGTATGTGTAAACGATAGGAGATAGATTACAGCAATTGTCCAGAGAAAACGTGAGGGGATCGTGTGAGAGAAATGCGAGACGAAATCCAGGTCTAAATGTCAATGCGGAAGTGGAAATCGCGGAAAATGGAGTTAACGCGCTCCGAAAGATATCGCGGCTTGTTTCCGAGGTTAGTTTTCTCGTGGAAGAGACAGTTGGACGGATGCTGCTGCTAGTGATGATGGTGATGGTGGTGGTGGTGGTGGTGGTGGTAGTAGTGGTAGTGGTGGTAAAACTAGTAGTGGTGGTGGCGGTGGTGGTGGTAGTCGGAGTTGCGTCGAGCCGTCGCTCGCGTAGGAGTGGCAGAGAGAGGGGGAAGAAGCCGGCCGCGTAAGCGCACGCGCCAACCTTACCTCTGACGCTCTGATTCCCCTGATCCGTTCAGTCTTGCACGAATCTACGCGAACGTCGTGCCGTTCCCTCCATCGTGTAAAGAGTCGGCTCTCGGCAAGTTCATACTCGTCCTTTCTTACCCTTACTGCGCCCCTTTGGCTGGCGATCTCAGATATATATCCGTCCTCTAATCGCGCGATTCCGGGAGAACGGAGGGAGTACTTCGTATTGTACGATAGAGAACAGACGTAAAGTGAACGAGTTCTCGGACCACGTGGTATGTATCTCGACGGAACGACCAGATTTTTCGCGCGCTACTTCAACACGGCGACCTTCGTCACGAAACACTCGACGCGAATTTCATTCGAAACTATTTCCCGAGTTCTCGCGGAATATTTTACACAACGGTAGAGATCACCGGATGTGGATTAGCACAAAAAGATATACGTAATTATATGACACTGTGAGATTATTTCGAGTCAAGTTCGCACGGTCAAAAATCCGCGTTAAAGATTACATCGTAATCTCAATCCCTTGATACGGCTAAATTTGCTCACGTACGGAATGTGCATAGTGTGTATAGATTAAAGTGGCGGCGCAGTGATTGATATCCGATACGGTAAGACTCGCGTAACGCTGCGGACGATAAATTATACAGTGCATATGTGTGTGTGTGTGTGTGTGTGTGTGTGTGTGTGTGTGTGTGTATTCAAATGAGTGAGAGAACATAGCGAATATATATTCAAGGAGAGAACACTCGCGCGAGAAAGAGATTTTTTTCCCTCTTTTATTATATCGCGCGCATTCTCGTTCCCTTTTTTCGCGTCAGCTGCCAGAGTCTCCGCGTCCGTCTGTTTCTTCCTCGGGCGCGCGGCCCGACGAGTGCAAGCCCTCTACTACTGCGCCGTGGACCACGTTCGCCGCGAACGGCGAACTTTGTACCTGCCTTGCCCGCCCGTGCTCCGACCGTCCTGCAACCCCTGCCAACTCGTGCCGCCACCCCGTCCTATCCGCCCCCCGCGAGAAGTCGACGCGGGATCGATATTTACGAGGTAAGATGGCTCGTCGTCTCTCTCTACTATATGCGATTTTCGGTCGCTGTCATTGTGAGAATACCGATTCACATTTTTTGGCGTTTGGAATTTTTTTGAACAGTGTTTTATGGAGAGTTTTAATTTAATCGTTTTATGTTAAACTACAATTATTTGCGATTGTGTCGATGAATTGTGTAAGGGAATTTCGCGCAAATTGAAGTTTTCACGTGGACAACGTTGAATCGAATCGCATATTTTACGCTGAATTCGAATGTAAAAATTGTAGAGAGAGGATTTTTACTTTTTTTTTTATGACACATTGCAAACTAAATGACGTGAAGCGTTCAAGCTCTTTGACAACTTTCCATGTATGTTTTTAGATATGTAGTACTTGTTTTATTCCTTTTTGAATCTTTTATTATATCTTTTATTATATCTCTTTTAGTATATCTCTTTTTATAGTAATAACAGAGGAATATGATATCTTACAATTTTATTTAATTCTATCTCTCTGTATGTATGTGAAGACTTAAATATGCAGTGAGAATAAGTCTACTGCATAAACAAGCACTTCGAAATTCGAACAATCCTTCGTTTATTTTTTCTAATAATAGATGTTTACAATAATTGATTGACGCGACCGAAATTTGTCGATTTATTCCAATCACTTTTAGTTCTAGAATGCCAAACTTTTTCGATTACCAATATATTGAGAAAGTTCAAGGAAGATCTTTTTTTGCCAATGATATTAAACGATCGTAAAAGATAAAAATATATTTATAATTAGAAATTTATTGCGCTATTATTCTTCATTTATTTGTAATTGATTACTTTTCAAATTTAATAATAAATGATATAACAATGAATTCAATAACGAATAATATGCAAATTTAAATATAATAATTAACAGACATTTTAAATTAATACAAATAATTAATATACAGAATTAAATAAAATAATTGTGCATGCGCCAAATTAGACTTAGTAATTGACAGATATACAAACACGGAATACATTTTAATCTAAAAAACAGTAATATTATCAATTAAAGAATCCATTACTATGTTATTTATATATTCTTTATATTTTTTTTGCTTATTTTTTGTTTTGAGTTTAAAATCCTACGGTCCTTATCACGTAGAACAGTGGCACGCGTGAAAACTCTCGTTCGGTTACAAAGAGGTGGAACTGTCTGAAAATGCAGATACGTAAATAAAGAGTGTTACGTAATTTCATCGTGTTCTCGAACGAAGTCGGCTCTCTCGGGAATACGTTTGTGCGGTAAATATACCTACTAATGCAAAAGCGTATCGATGCGAAAGAACGCACGCGCGTAGTAACCACGCTCTTTTGGCAACGGTTTACGCGAAGTTTACGTATTTGATCGTATAAAGGCGTATAAACAATTCTAGAATATAACCAGAAACCGCCGACCGCGCGAGTAAAAGATTCGCGTGCCGAGCCAATGAATCCGTCTGCGAATCCAATCTCTCGGTAATGAAAGCCGTGCGAATCGAGAGATGAAATTACTCGTTTTATCGATGAAAAGGCAAATTGGCGATTAATACTGGACAACGAATATCTGTACACAGGTAACACTGAAGTATTAATAATCGCTAATAACATTATGTTGTAATCGTCATTGATGCATTCAATACAGTAACGATTCAGAATTTGCCTTTTTAAGAGAGAAAATTAATGTTTGAGATTGAAAAAATTAAACTCATATTTGTAGATGAACTGGAAAATTTGAGAATATTACTTTTATACTAAATTCCTCCGATTTTTAGGAAGAAGGAAAGCAGCTTAAATTATTGTGACACGAAATTTTTCAATTAATAATAATTTTTAAAATAGTTTTTGCGATGCATTTCTATATACATGTGTATCTTTGCAAGAATTTTTTTAAATTGGTAACTTTTAAAAGCTAAAAAGGAAGTTTCTCTGATATCAAAAAAATTGATAGGTGTATTATATTCTTATTAATTAATTTATTAATGTGTAACGGGTCGTAACGACTTAATATCTGCAATATCTGTTAATTCGAAGCGGCTCGGAAGAAAGATTATCGAGCAAAGATAAGCTTTAATCTCAAGTATATCGGGTAATATACTTAATATACTCCGCACATATTTGGAATCTAATCAACGTGAGTTATTAGCGATTCTCGGGTCGGTAACGAGCAGTTTCTGCCATTTCACGAGGCGTAATGCAGGTAATTACTTGACCAGGGAGTGCACCAGCTTGGGTTGTTAGTCGCATTCCCGGCATTCCGACATCAGTATGCAACGTGTGCACACGCGATAATATAACGTATACGTCTTGTCGCGCGAGAAACGCCGACTGATCCATCTCGATCCGAGATTTAGCTCGCCGACGTTTCTCTCGAAATCTTATTTAAAATCCACCATATTTTCCTTCTCAAAGTTCTCAGACAAATATGCACTTCTAGCGTTAAATGAAGTTCGTATTTATAGTCCTTGTTTGAACAGGGAGAGAATTTCTTATCTCTGTTATATACAAAAGACTTGAAATAAGGAATCCTTGTTTCCTGAGAAAGCTATCTATAAATACGACTCTAACTTTGGAATCGTTGATGCTTTTACGTGAAAGTAATAGTATAGCTATTCTTTTTAATTAGGCTCGTTTTGAAAGAAAATGTGCGACTTTCGGGACACCCCACGCGTACGCGAAAAAAGCAATCGTTAATGTGTTTACTTTGAAAGCAGATTTAAGCTCGCGCTTTTTCTCTATCTTTTTCTTTCTCCTACTTGCGTAACATTATAGGAAGCCTCCTTGAGCTGAAATGTATAGAAATGAAAACTACTTCTAAAGCGGCGGTTTTCCAACATCCTTCGAACTTCTCTTATATAATTGGATATTTTTATATCAAATCACTAAAGTTTGTCCAAAAACTTTGAAGGATTGTTTAAAATAACAAGATAAATTTTAAACATCAAGGAAAGGCAATATTTAGTACCAATACCGACTAATTATGAAACAAACGTTATTACAGACAGAATTTTTAATAGAGATTTCTCGGGATATTTTTACCAATCAAATTCATATATTATATCAAGACCTTTGTAATTCTTTAATTTATCTAATGATGTCTAAAACTAAAATATTATACATCATTCCCCTATTTTCCCTCCCTCGATTGCATAGCAATTTTTCCCCTCGATTGTGTACATCCCAAAAGTTTGTCAACGTTCCAGCCCTTCCTTCCGACGAAATGTCACGTGACCGAAATGTCAGCGGCGCTCTTGGCGCCATTGAGGGTGGCGGGAGGAAGGGATGTCTGGGAACGGCCGGGTCTCGCTTGTCCGGAGTTCACGGTCGGAGGGGATGAACACGCATTATAATCTCGATATAATCTGTCATTGATGTGACATTTTATTAATTTATTTATATCTCGATACTGGGAAAATCAAGTTGAGATTAATGACACTATTGAATGCTAATTAATTGTTAATTGTGCTATTTAATTGCTTTGAGTGATTTCGAATGCACGGTGATACGGACTGAAGTAGTAAAACAAAGAAAAATTATTCATATAGAAATTATTACTTTAATATTAAAATATTTTTTACAATAATCGCTCCTGAAATATAGCTCAATCTTGAATTTATTTTATTTACGAAATAAATATTTAAAAAAAATATTTTTGCGCGGACATGGCTCTATGAGTAAAATATTCTAATATTATAAAAGAAATTTGTTTCTCAACTTTATTACGATTATTTGTTAATTTCACACGGAAACAATATATTGATTGTGAGATGTATACACTGACATATAAAGAAGTCGCCGGTTTCTTGCACGTACACTATGTTTCAATCGCTATGTCCATCGCCTGTAGCAATTACGAATGCCTTCGCGAAATTTCGCATATCTTTGCACAGTGTCTGAGCAAAAGCCGGCCACCTTCTTCGTGGCGTCCGAATAATTTCGCAACTGCCAGCCTAACCGACGCGAGAGCGCTTATTCTCGGCTACCACTCGAGCTGGCATTTCTCGCGCTCGTCCGCCGTTAGATCTGTCCGCAGTTAATAATGGCACGACCGTTTGATTTAACGGCGTCATTAGGGACCACGCCACCCTCTGTGTCGCCGAGCCGCGATTTCTTCGGCGGGCCTTAAGGACCGCGACTCCATCGTCCACGGCTATTAGCTCTCGTCGCTCTCTTCGAGTAATTGGCCGTATTAAATTTAATAATCCGCCGACCGCGCTCTGACCAATCCTAACCGCTTCCTAGTTCGCGCTCTGGTAATCGGTTAGGCAGACCGCGCGATATTCCGAGTAAGCGAGAATATTTCATAGCGAACGATTGAAATTCTCCCCTCGTATCTCGAGCGACAACTAAAAAGCAAAATCTGGAGAAGCTTAAGAGATTATACGCGAATCCTTTTTAAAGAGATGTCTGTAAGAGAGTCTGTATATTATATATGCTCTTTGTATACTAATTTAAATGATGTGAATGCATGCAGAGCCACATTTGCCGTATTCAAATCTTTAACAAGGGAATATAATCTCAATTAAATGCGTTGAAAAAAAAGAGATGAAAAGTACACAGATTACACAGAGATGTATAATATTAACGAAGATACCATCATCTCGTGAAAAAAATGTGCTTACTCGCGAATAAGCCCTGTATAGCATTTCAGAGTTAATTTTTCAAAAATAAACTTATCACATATATATAATATCACACAGATTTAAATAGACACAATCACACATATTTGCGCGACAGTCATAGGATATTCGTAGAATCTTTTTACATCGAAACATAAATTTAATTAATGAATCGCGTATAATACTGCATAAAAAAGTACGATAAAAGAATAGTTAGCCGTAATCTAGGATCGATTTTTTAAAAGTCCGTCGATATTAAGCAACACACATGCAATAGAACGTATATAGGCGCGAAAGGTGAGAGGGTATTTGCAATTTATATCGAGGGCGTATCGCAATCGCCGTACGTTGATTAATACCACGGTGCGTTTGTACAGTAATGTT